TGGGGGGGGGGGGTGGTTAAGGTGCAGATCACGATACCGCTTGAAAGCCAGAATCCATAGCGGTAAGATTACATTGCTTTCCAGCTCCTTTGCTTTCAGCATCGTCCCCTTGTCGTATGTGTACTTTAACAGCAGCCAGCTTTCGTTCAATGACCATGTGGGGAGTTTGAGAAGCCTGACAGCGCCCGCCAGAATTGCTTTGCTTCATCTCGCAAGATTTGACCCTACTATCCTCACTCGGTGCCAACAGAAACCTTACATAGCTCCTGCATAGCTTCGTAAAGTCATCGATAAGCATGGCACTAATCATGTCGTGCCGGGCCATGCCTGAAGCCTAAGTGTCAAACCTCCTGCACTAAACACTTTGAAGCTTGAACCTTCATCCTCGACCCTGAAGCATATATGGGAGCTTCTCAAATTAGGTGCCTGTATAAACGTGGGATTATCATCCCCAAGAAACGGACCCCAAAAAGGGAAGCCTGTTTCAGGAATTCCTAGATCCGTATCCTAGGCTTCTACGCAGCTGCACCTCCCTCCGTCAACTGCGACTCTTTGGCAATGCCGCCGGGCCTGAAGTTACCGAGGCCCGGACGGCCAAAACCGAGTACAGTCGGGCGAAAAAAAACAGCTCTGAATAGCCATGGTTTCTCTGTGCGAACTCTTTTGCACCACCTGACGCTCTTCGGAAATCTCCATGACAAGCCGTTGTAGCAAGCTCCACGAAGCATCTTCGAGCATTACACGTTGTGAGTTTCCCTGACCTCCTCAAGCCTACTCTGCTTGAACGCCCGAACGCAAAGTCCAGACATCCTAGACGCCCACCAGCCTTCATCCTTGATTCTGCTGTGTAGGCCCTTGGGTTTGCGATGGAGCATGGAGCGACTTGCCCTTGACGTGGCTGATGTATTGGGCATTTTTTTGGTTGAATGCACCTTTTCTTTTTCTTTGCCGGGGTTCTAGCTGCAGAGACCAGCCTTGTGGAAATCCAAAGTAAAGGGCAGTTGAAAGGGGACTCTCGAGTGCTGCAGGTCTGGCAGACCATTTGCTTGGTTGTTTCATGTGAGCTGTAGTCTAAACGCCTTGGGGGTTATACAGGGATTTTAAAGGGGAGTATCGTGAGGGTTAGTATAGGGGAATACTAGGAGTTTCGACTATAGCTCATATAACCCCAATATACTATTTCCATTTTATTTTCCATTATCACTATAGAACCCCAATATAAACCCTCAACCCGTAGGGTTATTAAGGGGGATACCAGGAGTTTAGGCTATAGCTCATGTGTCTAAGGCCATTGAAGACTTGGATCTCTCTCGCTGCCGCCTAGGTGCGAGCGCTGGCTCTTGGGTCTGGATTAGCGCGTGGTGCTTGGGTTCCGGGACACTTTAGGGTTCAGGGTTAGGGGTTCAGGGGTTCGGCTTTTAGAGGTTTATGGTTTAGGGTGTCTCCGAGACATGTGTGATTTACCTGTATGTTGCTGTTGCTAGTGTCATCCGCATTTGCTGCCTCTGTTTGCACTTTGCGGATCATTATCACTTATGGGTCCTTCATAAAATGGCACTTCCCTAAACCCTGTATATTTCGTTATATACAGATAAATATAAGTATACACAAATAGAGAGATAGAGATATATATACGTATATATCCCTATATGCGTCCCCATACAACTATTAGTTTTCTCTTTGACATAGAAGGTCCGGGCCTGGCTGACGCACTTCGCCGCGGTGCGGCGGCTGAGACATCTTTGCAGGAGACGAGTCCGAGTCGTCAGTTTTGTTTGCTCTTTTTAGGGTTTAGGGTCGACTTCCCGAGCTTTTGCGTTTATGCTCTTTGAGCCTTCCGCGGATGTCTCAGGCTGCAAGAGCTGCTGTAAGATAATCACCCCAAATCCTAAACCTGAAAATCACCCCCCTCAAGCTCTGACCCCTAAGCCCATTCTAAGCCCTGAGCCTTAAAGCCCAACTTTCTTACTTACTTGTGGGTAGTAGGGATTAACGGAATAAGGGAATATCATCCTTGTATATACCCCATATAATGTATGCCTTTATTCCCTACTAACCCCAGTAAGCTTATGTAATCAAACCTAAAACCCCAAACCCTAA